AGATCCCCTCAAACCCCCCCGGATCCCCCCAGATCCCAACAGCGGATCCCTTTCCAGGAGGACCAGCTGGGGCTGTCGCTGCTGACCTGGGAGCAGCTCCAGGCCGGGGAGGTTCTGCAGCGGATCCAGGGGATCTCCCAGCAGGCCTGAGCCCCCAACCCCAGGATCCACCGCTGGGATCCACCGCCGGGATCTGCCCAGGATCCACTCCAGGGTCTGCCTGGGATCCACCCAGGACTTGGACCTGATTCTGCTGGGGATTGACCCGGGATTTTGACCAGGATCCACCCGGGATCTGTCCCAGGATCCACCTGGGATCTGTCCAGGGATCCACCCGGGACTTTGACCTGGTTCTGCCCGGGATCCACTTGGGATTCTGGCCAGGATCCACCAGGGATCTGCCCGGGATCCACCTGGGATTTTGACCTGATTCTGCCAGGGATCCACCCGGGATTCTGCCCGGGATTCTGACCAGGATCCACCCGGGATCTGTCCCAGGATCCACCCAGTATTTAGGCCTGATTCTTCCAGGGATCCACTCGGGATCCACCCGGGATTCTGACCAGGATCCACCTGGTATCTGTCCTGGGATCCACCCGGGATTTTGGCCTGATTCTGCCCGGGATCCACCCGGGATTCTGACCAGGATCCACCCCTGGGATCCACCTGGGATCTGTCCTGGGATCCACCTGGGACTTTGACCTGATTATGCCCAAGATCCACCCGGGATCCACTCAGGATTCTGACCAGGATCCACCCCTGGGATCCAGTGCCGGGATCCACCTCTGGGATCCAAACAGGATTCTGACTGGGATCCACCCAGGAGTCTGGCCAGGGATCCACCCAGGACTTTGACCTGATTCTGCCCGGGATCCACGTGGGATTTTGACCTGATTCTGCCTGGGATCCACCCGGGATTCTGGCCAGGATCCACCAGGGATCTGCCCGGGATCCACCCGGGACTTTGGCCTGATTCTGCCCAAGATCCACCCGGGATCCACCCGGGATTCTGACCAGGATCCACCCAGGATTTCGACCTGATTCTGCCCGGGATCCACTCAGGATTCTGACCAGGATCCACCCAGGATTTCGACCTGATTCTGCCGGGGATCCACCCGGGATTCTGACCAGGATCAACCCCTGGTATCCACTCGGGACCTGCCCAGAATCCACCTGGGATCCACCGCCGGGATCCACCTCGGGGATCCACCCAGGATCCTGACCGGGATCCACCCGGGAGTCTGACCAGGATCCACCCAGAATCTGCCTGTGATCCACCTGGGATTTGCCCGGGATCCACCCAGGATTCTGACCAGGATCCACCCGGGATTTTGTCCTGATTCTGCTGGGAATCTGCCCTGGAATCCACCCGGGATCTGCCCGGGATCCACCCCCGGGATCCACCCAGGAACTGCCCGGGATCCGCCCGGGATCTCTCAGGTTGGGGGTGGGGGAGGGGATCTGGATCCACCCCCGGGCTCCAGGTGGGATCTGGACCC